TTACAAGACACCTCAGAAGTCGGGAAAACTCATTTCCCGCCTTCTAAGAATCAAAATTTTTCCGGGGGAGAACCCCCCTTTCTTTTTGGGATTTATGGATCCATAGAAAAAAATCGTATGCAACTACTCATTTCTTTTTTATGTATGTATATACTGTACACATAAGGCCTATCTACTGTAATAACAATGCGATAAATTTACCTGACTGTTTTCAAGAGGGGAAAACCTTGAATTTTGAAGAACTTAACAGTAATTAATAGACACCTCGGAAGTCGGGAAAACTCATTTCCCGCCTTCTAGATATCAAAATTTTCCCGGGGGAGGACCCCCACCCCCTATTCTTTGCAAACCTTGAATTTTGAAGAACAAAGTCATTAGAAACCTAGCTTAAAAGTCGAGAAAGGTCATTTCCCGCCATCTAGAAAACAAAATTTTCCCGGGTGAGGGCCCCCGGATCCCCTTTCCTTTTTGGGAAAAATGTTGACCCCCATCCCTTAGTTTTTTCCAGATCTGCATGATTCATATTCCCATTCATCTTATAAGTGGGCCCCCCCACTTTGAAAAACGTTCCGCCGGCCCTGCAAATTGAAAACAATTATAGTTTTGAAAGACAATACAATATGTGTAACCCACCATGAGATTCATCAAAGCTATTGTAAAAGTCAGGATGAAAAATGTCACTAATACTATAGTAGCCCACTGGAAATGAGCAGTTGCTTTATCTTCATCCATTACTGGTTTTGCGAAAGAGTTAATGAAATCAATTTCTCCGATCATCATATCAAAAACGCGTACGAACGACAGTAACACACTCTCAAATGGCTGACCTTCCTGTAACCAAAAATAAGAAAATTAAATAAATGTCTTCTATTGTAATATATATATTTTTTAATTTTGTACGGTATTTAATGAATAATATTTGTCCTACAGCCGACCATGTAGTGCCGGCCATTGTACAAGAAAGTGTAAAATTTAGTGAGAGGTTGACAAAATTGCAACAGAATTTATTTTACCACATTGCATTTCTATAAGGTCCCTAGTTGAACCTATTAAAAGTCTAGAAAAATCCAGGTAGGGGAAATGGGTTTTTTTTTTTTCAAAATGGCCGACAAAATTGACAAAAATAGGACAAAAAATCGAAATCTCATAATACCGGTATGTCATGTTTATAAATAACCTTACAATTTCTTAGATCTGCACGAAAGTGTTTAATATTTTGACAGCCAATGCAAGTATTACTTTTTAAAATAATGCTAATATTTTATACAAATGGCTGCCATCTTGGATTTTAGAACGGCCACCATGTAAAACATTATTTCTCTTCTTCTAAACCACTTGCAATTATAATTCTAATGTATAAAATATGTTTTTATATATTATATAGTGTATATATATATAAAAACATACAAAAAGATCACCTTGATAGATATATATATATATATATATATATATATCTGACAAGGTCAAAAATTGTATGACAGTAAGAAATACTGTGATACAATTTTTGACCTTGTCAGATATATATATATATATATATATATATATATATCTATCAAGGTGATCTTTTTGTATGTTTTTATATATATATACACTATATAATCTGTCTCTTATACACATCTAGATGTGTATAAGAGACAGGTATACGTGTTGAGCTAAATATAAAATTATATAATTGCTTTGCTTTTTCTATATTTAGGCCTAAGTAATCTATTCAAAATAGGCTACAGTATAACTTAGAACGAACGAAATAAATATATTTTCTTCACCAACTAACAGACATACATAAATTCCTTCTTTTGAGATTTTTAAATTTGATAATCAATTAATTTTAGTAGTAAGGCATCTCTAAATCTATTCACCAATTAACAGATGCATTGCTAGGCTAGGCTCGTATCTCAGAATAATCTCGTAAGCACGTATTACGAGATGAAATAATAGCATTTATGCCATTTTTTTTTTTTTGATAGGCCTACTGATGGTAAATCAATATAAGAATTTTAGTAGTAAGGCATCTCTAAATCCATGAATTGCGTTGACGTGTTTCATTGGACGTTGAAAAATAATTTGGTCATTTTAAGCAATTCATGGTTTTATTAAATTTTTAAGAGATGTGTATAAGAGACAGACTTAGCACTAATTTGTCGGGTTACTGTTTACGAAATCGGCAAGGACATTCGTGACACGTGTTCAAGGAAAATTGATAATTCACTGGCTCAAAATAACGAATTTGTATACATATTATATCTATTACAGATTAACAACGAAATAATGATAATCATTAAATGATTTACATTAGATTGTTTATAAAATTTCTGATCAATTAACAACGTATAACAGCGATGTATTTTGTAATTGTACAACGGTAAATTGTGTACCATGGTACATCGTCTTACATTGATGTGTAGACAAGTTGTGTTGTTTTCGCGACGAAAACCATCTGTCGACGTCTTCTCTATCAGCCATCTTGTTAGAACACTCTTCCGTTGGGTGGACACAGGCTGACGAAACAGCCTCAGCTTTACTCTTTTTAGATCTAAAAATAAGCGCTGGCACCAGCATGGTGGTGATTTTTTCCTCAATGACCGTTCAGATAAAGACACTGCTATATTTCCCCATTGTAAAATAAAAAGGCACAAAAAATGCAATCGAATCTCTGTGCGAACATGAAGTGTAATATCGTAAAAATTCCGAATAAAAATGTAAGCTGTCTCTTATACACATCTAGATGTGTATAAGAGACAGACTTGATTGAAGTTAATTTATAATACCGTACAGGGCAGTGCCATAAGTAGCATAAAAAAAACCAAATACACAATCGCCTGATTGTAAGCCCAGCTCCGTCCAGGCCTATGAACTGTAGGCCTACTCAAAGCGGTCGAAATGTACAGTACAACTCAGGGCCTAGCGACCGACACACACAGCCTTTGAAGTTGCGCGACAAGCTACATTTGGTACGGTAACTAAATATACCAAACGAAATCAGTAGCAAGTTTATGATTTATAATTCTAATATGTTCTGAAGCTTAACTTTACTCCAGCATCAAAAGAAATGTTGTATGGATATTAAACCGCACAAACAGCTTAGTCGGAACATTAAATCTTCGCTACTTGTAACAAAGAAGTGATGAAATACTTACGAATTAGCGGCACCATTAAAATAAAGATGCTTTATAAATTCATGGATCATAGCGCAAGTTATTTGCTGCGGTATTTATTTTAATATCATCACTTTAGTAAATTCATTTTCACTCTATGAATCTGTTATCATATATCTTGGCAAATTGAAAACATTTTAAGCCTCTGGTAGTAGGAAATTGATCAAATTGAGGTTTTTTTTATAATGATATAAAAAAAAAGTTAATTATCATTTCAATTGAATTCTTATCAGATTTAAACTACATGAACGAAAAAAAAAAGTAAACTGCAGAAAATAAAAAAACAGTTGCCTGGATTGATGGTTAAACACCTGACATTGATGGTCCCACATTTCTCGCTTAGCATGATAGATATGAGTAAGTTTAAGAGATACTGACATACTAAAATGTTTGATTACAGCATTTATAACCCTGGCCTAGACTAGACAAATCACTAGCGAGGGGGGAGATCCTTTTGAACCACTGCAAGCCTATCACCTAAAATAACAGCCCATCTGAGAATAGAAAAGTCTGTAATAAAATAATTGTATTGTGAACATTATCCATGGGTCTAAATATCTCTTGAATTATGATGACATATTTTGACAAACAAGAACATTACTTTCCTCAAAAAAGTTCTCAACAACCCTAAGACATAAATTAAATTGTGTGAACTATTTGTATAAAAAAATATATGTAAATATTCTATACTATTTAAAATTAAGAAATGAATTTTTAAAAAGACTTGTTTATATATACTGTATATTGTGATGGCCCTTCTTAATTGTTAGTATTTTGTATATAATTGTACGTTACTTTCAGTATATTATTGATCTTTCATATACAGTACTACTGTATAAGTTTGTTACCACTGATATCCAGTAATGACAAGGCTATAGAAACATGTCAAGAGTTGTGTGTGGTATAGTAAATCTACAGTAGGTTGTCATAGCAAACGGTGACCATATTGACCACTTTAGGAATTTTAAGGAGCCTATCCAAGATGAGGATGACTCATACGAGGGGTCAAGATAATTTTGGAGGGAAAGTTCGAATGTAGTTTGGCGGGAAGAAATTGACCAATAAAAGGCAGATTTTCATAAGCCAGTACTGAAGCCCTAATTTCCATATCCAAGGGTAGGCTATAAATTGGGGTACAAAATGATATTTAGGGAGTTTTAATCCATCTGAAGGGCTGCCAGGAAGAACTGTTAGCCTTCTCCATCTTCTTTGCTTGAATTACAGATATGTGTGGTAAGTCTCACTTTCATTATGCTGTCTTGACCACTGCCACTGATTATCTTCGTTTTACTGTACATAAATTTGTATATAAATGTACATCTGTTGCCATGATCTCTTTCTGTTGCTATCAAATGTTATAGCCAGGCATTTGCCGTAACAATATATATATATATATATATGGTATATCATGTTAACAATATGCAAACTACGATTGTTTTTTTAAACGAAGGCATGAAACGAGAACATTCCAAAAATCACACCTCCGTCATATGTCCCGTTCATATGCAAATTAGATAAAATATGCAAATTAGGGGTAAAATTATAGGATTCGACAACTTTTAACTAGTGGTTACAGAAGCTCGAATTTTGTTTTAAATAGTTCAGAATATTCATGTTTCTATTCGCTCTAATGCAAATTTAGGGCCTACTTCAAAATTTACCGGAAGTGTCAGGTTTGACCTATGACCATATGTTTTTCAGGAAATGTCCATATCTGCACTTCCGTCTTTAGAGAATTCATTTGGTATCAAACTGGTCGGATGTATGTTTCTATTCACCGTAAAGTAAGGTAATAAAACAGGGAAATAACATTCCAAGAATTACACTTCCGTCATATGCAAATTTAGCTAAAATATTCAAATTTGGGGAAAATTATAGGCTTTCTGTATCTTTGCAACCGGTGGTCGCAGAAACTTCTTTTTCAAATTGTTCAGACATGTATGCTTCTATTTGTTCTAATGTAACATTTTTATTTGAAATTACTAAAAACACCAACTCTGACCTATGACACTATGTATTACATTATTTACACTTTATGACTGCTATCCATAGAGAATTGGTTTTGGTCTCAAATGATATAACTTTAAATACATGTTTCAATTCACTGTAATTAATTTTGTGAAAAAGTGTCACTTGAGTTTCTCTCTTGACACTTGACTCAGCAGGTCACATTGTATTTCTAAGTCACTCCATAATGACTGGTCATAGAACATTTATGTTTGTATCTGACCAGTTGGTTAGACTATAATATATTTCTATCTAATGAAAATGTTTTTTTTTTTAAATAACTTACGTTTATGACGATATTATAAGACAACCTGACCAATGGATAGAGGTGTGAGTCATATGCAATGCTCGATCCACAGTACCAAATATTAAATACCTTAGGGAAAAAAACACGTTTCCTAATGGGCTCAAATTCTGATGTTGACTTGTTTTTGTCAAAAGTAACATAAAATTTTATAGCATGGATAGAGCTTTAGAAAAGGGGTTTCTAGTATTTTTGTTATAAACTCTTCATTGGAGTAAATATTTAAAACATTTTTTTTTTTAAACATTTGTTCGTATACAAATATCAGGTTCTATCCGTCATTTAGAAATTACAAAGATATACAATGTGACCTACTAGGTCAAAGGTCAAGAATGAAACTCATGTGACACTTTTAAATTTATCCTTCATGTACAGCAGTCACAGAGATATGAACATCCTGAATAATATAGGGTCGGTAAAACGTTGTGCTTCTGCTCATTTTCTGGAGCAAATGATACATTAGCACTGAGAAACCGGCATGTTCTAAACAATTTGAAAAAAAAAATCAGTTTCTGCAACCAGTGGTTGTGATATGGAAACTCATATTTTTACCTAAGTTGCATAGTTTAATTAGCTAATTTGCATATCAACGTGACATAGACCGAAGTTTTTTAGAATTTAATGTCTCCATTGTATTACAGTGAATAGAAACATGCACATCCGACCAATTTGAGACCAAAATGGATTCTCTAGTGACAGTAGTTGTGGAGATATGGAAAACATCCTGCAAAACATCAGGTCATAGGTAAAATCTGATATTTCTGGTAAATTTTGAAGCGAAGGTTGCATTAGAGAACTATTTAAAACAAAATCAAATTTCTGTGACCATGAGTTACAAGATATTGAATCATATATTTTTATCCTTTTTTTTTATTTATTTTTATTCTTTCAGATTTTCTTCCTAGACTATATTCTTTTTAAACATTTTTACTACCACTCATTCCCCCTACAAGTGTACAGAAAACAATTTTGTCACAATTTACGATGCCATTATTTTGCCCTCACAACATCTACAATTTACAATAGGCCTGTAGTCAGTCAACTCCTTCAGGCATATTTCCAAATAAACGTATGGTGCGCCATTAGAAGCGCGACAGCAATAAGTAGATGTAGGAATCAAAGTGTAGTTGTAAAATCAAAATGTCTTAGGCACATAGGCATAAGTATACAAATCCAACACTACGAAAATAGGTCATCCTACACCACCAGTCTATACAACATCACCTCTAATAATTCTACATCATGAATAGTAATACAAGAGAATCACATAGTTTATGAATATATAATACACAACAGTGATGGACAAGCAATTTTTGAATTAGGCATAGGCTTACTCTCAACGCTATCGTATGGTAACCTTTTTTCTTTAGTATGTCTTAAAACACAAGTAACGTAAGACAACATTCTACCCTGGATCAATTGCGCTGTGGCAACATCTCTTAGCCATCCAGACCAGTACTACGTTTATCAGAAATAAATACTGTACCTATTTTGTTCTCAATCATACCTTAGTCACCAAGGAAACTCATTTTATTTTCGCCATAATTGTAGAATAAAGCATTCTTTACCATCTACCTGTATTACGCTATTTTGTTTCAAGAAACCTGGCGTCAGAAGTGACATTTGTGCCGTCCTTTTGCACTTACTCCATATTTTCAAAGATAATTGAACGTTGAATTTTTAATCATTTATGCACCTTTTTTTAATCCAGCTCCATTTTTTCGTGTTATCTGTTTGGCTTTCGTAAAGGATATTCATGTCCAAGTCTGTTGTCCCAGGTCTACCATCACTGGACTAGTACTTCATGACACTAAACTATCTGATGTTCACTCCATATTTCTTGACTGGAGTAAAGCGTTCGACCGCGTGTCTCGCCATACCCTTATGCGTAAATTACACCAAATCGGCGTTTGTGAGCAAATAATATTATTAAGGAAACTTTTGATCCAATGCCATATTATGGCATTGGATCAAAAGTTGTAATGCCCGCACCCAGTGTGTACGCTTTAACGGCTGCGTTTCTGATTTTATCCGAGTTCCTTCTGGTTTGCCACAATGTTCAATTTTAGGTTATCTTTTGTTTCTTATTCATACAAATGACATTATGTATCAATTATCACCAGGTACATTTATGTATCTTTATGCTAACGACACCTTATTTACGGACCATTATTCTTCTATACTTAAAAATGATCTCGGAAAAAATATCGGTTGGAGAAACAATATGATTTTAAACCAAGACAGATACAAGGTTATGTGCATAACTAGACGCAAGGTTATACACCCAACCTATTTTATTAATAATTCTCTTTTATCATGAATATCTTTCATTTAATATTTCCCTCTCCTCCAATCTGAAATGGCATAGGTCTAACCAAAATATTGCCTCAAAAGTATCCCAAACTCTCTACTTTATAAAACGTACATGCAATCGCCACCCGTTCTCTTTAGTTTTATTTGCACTCGAATTTGTCTGCCTTATTTTCTTGTACATAATTATTAATGGTATTATTAAAATTGATTCACTTATATATCATTTCATACACATTGACCTCATCTCAAACTTTACCTGCCCGATGCAATGCACTCTACTATTCACTCTTTCATCATATTCCTGGTTATCTGGAACATACTTCCAATACACGTTTATCCTCCTCAAACGAAAGGTCCACTGATTAATCTCAGGTGAAATAGTATACTACATACTCTAAGTATCGAAATGCAGGCCGTCATCGGGAAAATATACTATTTTATCCTTCTCCGGCTCTTTTTTTAAAACTGCCCTTGACCACCTGCGTTAAGTCACTTGCCTCTTTTATTTACTTAATTACTTATATATGTCTGTTTATTTATTTAATTATTCTTTTTTACGTATTTATTTGTTTATTGTTGCTTAATTTTTTTTTTCTTTGATTTATTTATTTTTATTGTTGGTAATTACTGTATTAAAACTTAAGTATAACTTGGTTTACTGATTTTGTTCTATTAATTATTGGAACTGTTATGTTATTCTGATAGGTACTTTGCATAGGGACCAGTTCCCTTTGTTACCAATCAGTCTCTTATTTGAGTAAAATAAATTATGAATTATGAATATACATAAACGTTTGGGTGGGAAAGGCGTGGCTGTTGGCTAAAGACACACAGTTAGCTGGTATTGTTTCTGACGAGTACCACTAGTGGTGAGCCTTTCATGTCTGTTCAGAGTGGTTATTGTCCCATTAGAATTGGGGCTAGTGTTATAAACTCAACAACGTTTACCTTATCTACTAGTGCAATGAAAGACACTTAACACAGTAGTTAATAATATATGCAAAATAATACAGGTATAACTTTCGTTCGTATGTACAGATTTTCTTGAGCAATTATACTACACCTATTCATTCTTTGCTTGTTGTATTACTACACCTATTCATTCTTTGCTTGTTGTATACTGGATGTTATTGTGTCTTTTTGTCTGTTAAATATTGGCCTTTGGTACTTCACAATTAAATGTGGAACATTTAAATATACTTACGTCATTGCCCAGCAACGCATGAAAACATATTACAAGTCCAATTATTTGGATGCTGAAGACTATCAATATCTTTGTCATTGTAGCAAGAACTTTAACGAACATCATGATCAGGATTCCGAAAGGTGAAGTTCTATAATTAAAAAAGAAGTCTAATTGTTGGGTAAACAGCAATGTAAACAGAAATTCAGCAAAATTATGAAAAATTTCAGTGAGTACGTCATTATGTTTCTGTACGTCATTATGTTTTATAAATATATTATCGTCGTCTTCACCGCCGTCACCGTCATTATCATTATTAGGCCTGTATCTACTGCAATACTACTATTACTATTGTTTTCATCTGGTGATAAAACGAATAGAATATTGTCTTCATCACTAGCAGCCATTCGTCAAATAGTTCGTAAGGAAATATATTAAATAATTACCGCTTGAGGTGCTGCAATGTAAATACCCAGGCCATGAATAAGCCCAGAACCCCGAATTCCCACGTCCAATGATGAGTGAATTCATCGGATGACAACAACGGTACTACAAAAATTATCACAACAAACATCATACCATGATGTGCAATCTTTTCAAATGATAACAGTGTCCACCATCCCTGTAATGTCATAATTATCTTCGGATAAGTAAGGTACATGAATGATCGGCACGTACAACTTAGTTCACTAGCTATAATATAAGCCTTTAAATATGATACTTATTTATTTTATTTACTTTGTGAACATACGCCTTTAGATCCTCGGTACTCAAGGGTGGTCCGTTCAACTTAAATACAATACAATGAGTCACTTAATTACTGTACAATAAATACAAATAAAACAAAATTGACACAAACTTAAAAATAATTAAAATGAAACAGAGAAATAGGGAAGTGAACTTAAAAACAATAAAACAGTACAATAATATATAAAAAACATTTGTGTACACATACACAAATATAATAATAATAATATTTATTGACATTACACTTTTACATCAGTGGCAGCACACAAGAAAGTGGCGCAGTCAAACTTAAACTAATGAACAAAGAGTAAAACAACAATTTAAAGCTAAACAAATGAAAGAACTTATGAACAAAGAGTAAAACAACAACTTAAAGCACACATACACACACATACATATACACACACATACACACACATACATATACACACACATACACACACATACATATACACACACATACACACACATACATATACACACACATACACACACATACATATACACACACATACACACACATACATATACACACATATATATATACATACATATACACACACATACACATACATACACATATATATATATACATACATACACACATACATACACCCATATACAGTATATATACATACAGTACACATATACATATATATACACACATACATATACATATAAATACATACATATGTACATACATATATACATACACATACATACATACATATGTACATACATATATACATACACATACATATACACCCATATATACATATACACACACATACACACCCACACACACATACACATACATATATATTATACATATATACAAAGCGTTATAAAAGTATATCGAAGAAATTAAATTTAAAACATAAAAAAAGAAAAATATATCCCTCCCTACTCGATCAATTAATCTTTTTTTCTTTTTTTTCAAATTTGAAAACACACAGACCAGAATAAAACAAACAATTTCATACAAAAAAAAATGCATAGAGGCGGTGAAACAAGGTAAACAATTCAGAAACATACCAACATAATTAATTTTGTAAGGTATTAAATAAATAAATACACAGTACTTTACCAAATAAAGTTAGAAAAAAGGTTAACAAAATGAAGCAACTAAAACTAATAAATAATAATGTAGGTGACCATAATGATTCTATTTATTTTCTCAGGTTAGAGGCCTATTACTTACCCAAGAATGAAGGACCTTCATGTTCAACAAAATAGATAATGAACTATAAACCAGCAGAAGTATAAGTGAAACAGTCTGCCCACCTGTGAACTAATATTATTAATTCAAGGTAATTAATATGTTTTAATGTTGTTTACGGCAGGAAATTTAATAGAAGTATAATGAACCTCACTCCTGTCATTAATATGATTTATAATATAATACTGTACACAATACCATAAACAGTTTAGCTGTATAGTTTTCTATTTATAGCCGTCTCTTTATTTGAGGTTAATTTGATTGGCCTTTGATAACAATGATAATAACAATGATAATATTATTTATGATTGTAGAAAAATGATACTATACCGATGAACTATCCTAATAGTTTGATTTTCATTTCCTTATTTTTATAGTGTTTTCAGAAAACAACGCGTGTTAAGGCATTAAGCGCTATATAAGAACGCTATATAAGACATATTATTATTATTATTATTATTATTATTATTATTATTATTATTATTATTATTATTATTAACTAAACTAAACAAGCTATATTGAGAAAAATCCTTTACCTTATTTTTACCGACATGGAGGCAACTCTGCGTCGTATTGGTTGTGCACGTATTATTTGTGCACTGGAGCGTGTTGAAGTCAACAGAAAGAATAAAGTATGTGTATATACACACGTATGTTGCATAGAAGAGAAAATGAATTGTATGTGTTACAAGCCCATAGTATTCCCTGAAAAAAATATCAAATCCTGATTTGTAGGTCGGTAGGAAAACTGGCTAACGCAATATTTGTTTTTTTATTTGGCCTTAGATGCTTGAGTATAAAAACACAAGATTTGATTTGAAGTAGTGAACCTCCTGAGGTGTTGAATTCACTACTTTACTAAAATAAAACCATCTTAATATTAATATCTCATAATTATATCAATATTAATTAGATAGCATTGTAAATTAAAATTTGTGTACACTTCGCACACGATTCACGTAGGCAATTCACGTTACCAATGTAAAATAAAGACCCGACTATAGTTGACGTTGCAAAATACCTTGGAGTGACAATACATAGATACAATAATGATTAATAAATCCGGACGAATTAGAATGCCGAATATTAAAACCGGAAGATTTAGGAACTCTTTTCTGCCATCAGCAATTATAGAATTTAATAAGAGGAAACTAAGATAATGTATGTTGTTAGTTGGAACACACATCTGTAGTATCACAAAAAGGCATATACTCGGCGCTCGCGTCGCAATCTTCGAAACTGGCCAATGAAAATAAAATATTTAGCATACAAAACGTATGTTCGCCCAATCGTTGAGTATTCCTCCTCAGTTTGGGATCTACAAACAAAGGAACTCATAAATAAGTTGGAAATGGTTTAAAGACGGGCTGCATGATTGACCGAGTCTGACTACAGCAAAACAGCAGTGTTTCTGAAATGTTGCCATCGCTCCAGTGTAAAACCCTTGTGTTATTTTTAGTTCTGCTTCCGAAGCTCATTAATTCGCATCGATGTGCCCTAGGAATAGATTTTTATTTTACGATGTGGTATTTATTTATAAATGTGTAAATTCGTATTTTAGCTGTGATTTTATACATCTGTTTTGTTTTCATGTTAATTCTAGAAGCCCTCGTTCCTGCCCGACCATTAATGTCCCCTTTGCAGAGTGTAAACGTAGTTTTACTACTAGACTTTCCATACAATATAATCCTCTTATTTTAACTACTAATATTGATATATTTTACAATTCTTTCTTTTGTCATTGCTGACCTGTTTACTGTGCTTGGGGGTTTTTGTTTTTTCTTTGTGATTTCGATGTTTTGAATTAATTTGCTATTCTGTAAATAGCCCTTAATAAATTAAATTTAAAAAAACAATTTGTGTATATTTCGTTCTATTATAATTAATCATTTGAATAGATGATACAATTTTTATGTAGTCTTTCGTCTGTATATTTTATATCTTTAAATTTCATATATTTTACCAGCCTGTTAGAGGCGACGATTCGCTGTTGGTCAGATGAAATGAAATGAAATAAATAAATAAATACTTCAACGTTGTGAGAAGCTATATCAGAGTCGGACTCGTAACAATAGAAATATTGTTTAGGTATACACGAATCATCATGTCATACGCTCTAATTTGTTCTGCCAATCATGAATACCCCACTGAGCAGATTACTTTTTTCTGGATCTGGCACAATATAAATTCCCTCGATTGATTATGTTGAAAACCAAAATGAACAACAAACAGGGTATAATATCTTACCACTTCAAATCTAAATACTTGTCGCACACAGGATGTCCAAGAAGATCAGTTCTGTTGAACTCGATCATCGTCTGGAAAAATATATTTTAAGTTTATTTACTGCATAAATTGAAAATATAATCAAAATTATGAACAGAAATAGAGGCTATTACAACATATACTATTTGTGGTAAAAAGTATTCGTTTGCTGCTAGTTATGCATGATACGATTATTACAACCTGTTCCTATTCGAGCACTGTTATTATTATTTATCTATTTGTTTATACAGTATTGTGTTTATGGTGTTACACGAGTAAACTTGATTTGAATATAAATATACTATGATTTCCTTGCTGCGACTTACTACAAGCTTTTCTAACTTAAACTCAGCTCCACTCTGTGTGAGTGTTTCAGTCAGTTGTATATAAAAAGTTTCTGAGGGTTAGATCTTTGCCATGAGTATCCTTATTGTCTCTGTGGTCTAATGGGTTGATACTCGCCTTGACCGCGAGAGGTTGCAGGTTTAAATCCCGCCAGTAACCTTTTTTTTATGCAATTGAAAAAAAAAAAACGGTGGCACGCCAGGCTTAGTTACTATAAGAACACAGCCCGGCTTGAGATAAGCCACTTAGTTCAGACTGGCAGGTGGATAAACCCGGTGAGTTGAGCCGGGTTTATCCACCTAGTCTGAACTAGGCCTAAGTATTTCCATCAATATGTTGTCACCTGTGTATGTGTATAATTCGGTCCAAGTTCAATATTACCTATTTCGCCTGTTTATTAATATTGAAGACGAGACTTAACTTACATTCAGCGCTGAAAAAGGTTTCATATCTGCCTCATTTTGCACGTTTTTACTTTTTACATCATTGCACAAATACCGAAAGTCATATTTAATCTGCAATGAAATGTACACGTAATATTTTAATGAATGCAGTTGGCTAAAACTACAGTAATATATTTCTGCTTACAATCTTATAACACCCTAATACATTTTGTATTATTTTTAAAAAATTCCATTCTTTAAGTTAATTTTTTGTTCTTCCCATGTACTGTATATGTAATTAGGCGTGGACATTTGCAAGTGCTACTTCTACAATGGAGTAAGTTTACGTTGTTGCGCCCTCATTTCCATCAAGCGTAAGCTTCTTGTGGACTTAAAATCGAAACGTTAATACAGTACTGAGTTTCGCCTACAGGAGCCTATGCTTCGTACAATCATTCCATTCATGGAAGAAGAATTTTTATTGAAGAAAGCGTACATGTCATTAGCCATAGTAGCCTAAATCAATACATAACTTCGGCTGTATTATAT